GGGGGGGGGGGGACGAGCAGACCCCGCGCTCACTGCACGTGTGTGTGTGTGGGGGGGACGAGCAGACCCCGCGCTCACTGCACGTGTGGGGGGGGGACGAGCAGACCCCGCGCTCACTGCACGTGTGTGGGGGGGGACGAGCAGACCCCGAGCTAAAATCAAGCTCTGACTTCTGCACACATGTATGCACGTGCTCACCAGCATGAACATGTACATGCCTCCAAACAAGACCATACACCTTAAATATACACACACAAAAATGTAAAACCTAAATTTTTTTAAGGAAACCTATGTTTGTTTTTAATATAGGCACCATGTGACAAAAAAATATTGACAACATTAGCTTGTTCTTTTTTGCACCATTTTGACCTCTGGGCTTAGGTATAACAACCCTTCGGAAAAGTAACTTCAGTGGATTCATTTGTACACTTTTTGTGTGTTAAGTTTCCCATATGCAGTCTTAAAATGGTAGCTAGAAGCATACTTTGTCCTCTGTCAACTTTCTCACGCCCTGATCTCTGCAGCTTGACCCAGCCTCCCCCAACCATTGGTTCTTTTGGTGTGTGGACAGCTTGACCATTTCTAGAGCAAATCCTTCGGTGTGTGGACAGCTTGACCGTTTCTAGAGCAAGTCCTTCGGTGTGTGGACAGCTTGACCGTTTCTAGAGCAAGTCCTTCGGTGTGTGGACAGCTTGACCGTTTCTAGAGCAAGTCCTCTGGCTTCTTTCAAAGTCATTGGCCACTGTAGATCCCATGTCACAAGGTACCTGGTAGTTTTGTTTTTGCCAAGGTCTCCTTGACAGTTCCTAGCCACTCCGCCTGCTCTCTGCAGCATCGGGGGCCGGCGCCTCTCTGTCCTCATCACTAGCTCCAAGACTTCCATCTCAGTAGATGTTTCTTTCTTACTTCTTTTTTCAGAAGCCCCCTTGACTTTCACATTTAATCCTACAGAACCTGTGCTTAGCCGGGGGTCCTTTATTTACAGCTCTGTCTTTTCATCACTTTTGGAATAAATATTACTAAGCATATTAGGAATAAAACTTAAATGTCTTTGCATTTTTATTTAATATGTGTTAAAGATTTTCAAAATCTCAAATGCTGATAGTTGATTGACCTATTTTAATAAGAACTGATTGAAATGTAGTAAAATAACTGAGTAATTGCTGATATTTATTATCTGAACCCTTGGTAATAATTTTGTCCAGTTAAACGTAACCAAACTTTATTCTCACATTAGATTCTGTTCTGGGAAAGTCTGCATATTGAAATAATACGGCTTGGATTTTCCCAAATAAATAAGCCTGGGTAAGATACCAGTCTTTGATGTATGTCTTTAAACAAAAATGTGTATAAATTAGCTTTTTTGCATTTTAGAACCTATATATTCTGTTAGATAAAACCTGTTAATGTATTTATATAGTTTTGTCAATCAAATTAGGAAACAGTTTGCATCAAAGTGCATCTTCTAGCATGGAACTTCCTACACTTCTTTACCTTTCTTCTTGACCCGTCTCACTCAGAGCAGAGGCTGACAATCATCTTCCTCATACTCACGGTACTAGTGTCTTAGACAACCCAGGTGACATCATCCGCCGCCCACCACTCCTGTGCTGTTCCTTTGCCTTTGGTTTTCTTGGATTGGACCACTGTTATTAAATTCTAGTTTGTAAGGCAAAATAGGACCGAGCCAGTGCTGGTGAGAGATCTAGGAGAAGGTCCCGACCAAAACTGGCAGCCAAAGGAAAGGCGTCCAGAACAAATTCACTGGGCCAAGTGCCTGTATTGGGAGCGGGGATTGAGTTTCCTCAAGGAAAGTGTGCCAGGTTCCTTGAGACTTGGGCTGTTCAGGGAGGAGGTGACTGCTCACCCTCTCAGATAGAGAGACACAGGCTGCTCCTGCTCTGGTGCCCCGGTTTCTCTAATGGAAAGCTTTCAAAGCCATCTCCAGAAGTGTCTGCTTTCATTTTATTTATCCGAACTGGCTGTTTCCAGTGAACTGTGGCCTGTTTGTAGTCAGAGACCATTCGGTAGTTTATCCCTCTAAAAGCTTTGAGTATTCCCATCGTTCGGGGAGTAGCATGTAAGCCCTGGAAAATGGTATTTTAAACAAGCTCAGCTTGACCATGATCTCTAAAGGAAAACCCAGGACACAGTCACTTTAGGGAGTCCTCACAGACGGGTACTCTGGAGAGCCACTTCCCGGGGCTGCTGGGTGCGAGTGGAGAGATGTGACTGAAGCTTTTCCCCTCACCCAACTGTCTATTAGAGCTTGCCCGCCACTCAGTTTCCTCATAAGATCTGTGTGCACCTTGAAAAACAGCTGGTTCATTAGCCATGTGTCGGTTCTTGTTCCTCAGTCCCGACCTCCCTCACCATTCCAGGTCAGCCTTGGTATCTGAGACCATAGTTAAAGACTACTGGAAATATTTTTCTATATTTTATAATTATGGAATTTCATACTTGACTTTCTTGAGATAAAATGCACACATGAAATTCTCATTTTAATGTTTATATAGTTCTACATGTTAGTGTATTTGCTATATTAGGCCATGGTCAGTACTGTCTAATAAGAGAACAGTTTTGTCACCCCAGACAGAAATGTCACATGACTTCAGCCTTGACTTCTCCTGCCGACACCCTCTTATCTCTTCCTATCAAATAGCCACTTATCTATTTGCCTGTTGTGAATATTTCAAATCAGTGAAGTCATATAAGACACGGTTGTGTCTGGCTTCTTTCACTTAACGTCCATGTAGTAGCATATAATGGCACCTTGTGTGTGGCCAAATAACGTGCTGGGCTGCAGATGTACTGCACGCCTTTGCTGCACCTTTGCTGCAGATGTACTGCGTGCCTTTACTGCATCTTTACTGTGCATATACTGCACACCTTTGCTGAGGATGTACTGCACGCCTTTGCTGCACCTTTGCTGCAGATGTACTGCACACCTTTACTGCGTCTTTACTGTGCATATACTGCACACCTTTTGCTACGGGTGTACTGCACGCCTTTGCTGCGCCTCTGCTGCGCCCTTGCTGTGCATGTACTGCGTGCCTTTGCTCGGTTGTCTGGGATAGTCATCACTCTTGTTTCTGCTCCGGGGCTCCTTTGTACAGTGATGCCATAAACATTCACGAGCACCAGCGTGCTCTCCTGTGGACATGTTCTCAGTTCGTTGGTTGGATACACTGATTATGTTTAACCTTCTGAGAAACTGCCCGACTGTTTTCTGCGGCAGCTGCACGGGTCCACGCTGTCACTGGCAGTGTGCAGTGTGCAGGCATTTCAGAGCTGATCTTCCGAGTTCTCACCCATCACCCA